TGACCAAATCGTATAAATTTCGTGATAAAATCAGTGATCAAATCATGTAAATTCCATATAAATCCCGTGCAAATTCCGTATCCAAACCATATTTTTGGTGATACGGAATTGTGCATTTTTCCGTATCCTATTATGATACGTTATTTCTAAGGAAAAAAAATCGTATAAAAACTTCATAAAAAACGTATCCAATTTTTTTATAGGGCAGATATATTTTAAAACAAATTATTTTTTTATCGCGTTCTTATTAATTCAAATTGAAGACTTACCTGTTATGGTCGAATAATGATAGGTCACGTTACACTATGATGGTTTGATATATATGCAACCAATTAAATTGATATGAGAATTATTTAAATTTCAAATTTAACCGATAGATATAAATTTATATGTTTACAGCAGAAAAGCCCATCGTGCGAAAAAATTTATCAAAAATATAATGAAAATGGAAAATGGAAAATGGAAACCATTCAAAATCCCGGCACTCACTAACCTGAAGCTTATTAACTTGTTTTTAATTTTACATTATTATTTTTTTATTATTAATGCGGCGTAAAATTAAGTAACAATTAATCATTTTTATTAATATGTAAGATATTTAAAATACTTCACAAAAATTAGTTTTTATTGAGTTTATTAGTTAGAAAAATTAAATTTCAATTTTTTTTTTTATAAATGTAATTTTTTGTATATAAAGATATAATTTTTATTTTTATTATAATTAAATAACTTATTTTAATTTTTTTCTGGGGTGTCGGGATTTGGATTGAGATTTGTCAATCATTTACACAAAAATTACAAACATTTATCATTGATTATCTTGATCATCTTATCTATTATATAAAAGGACTAACCTTTCAAGATAATCTTAAATAAACATGAGTAGTGATGATACTGTTTATATCTGCGGAAGTATTATTAATCACATAATTTAACCGTTATTAATAGCAGATTACGAGAATCTAAAAATTTTTTTTGCCCAACCTTAGTTTATAACGTAAACCAATTAAATACATCTCATTCATATATTGCCATTTAAATTTTTTTATTCAAATATAATAATTTCCTGAGCAAAAATAGAAATAGCAACATCAATCTAATAAATAATACAAATCAGCTGTAGTTTTGTGAAATCAAAATAAAAATCTATGCAATGCAATATAATATTTATACCGCCGCAAACTTTAAAAAACATAATAATAAACAACGTATATGTCACAACAATGTTAAAGCTTTTATATGTGCACACTTGTTTTTTTTTATTGTAAATTATAATTAATTTAAAATCTTAGTCAAAAAATTCATATAATTTCTTAATATAACATAATACATATTTCTTAATATAACATATTACATATGATGTTTTCGATTTATGAAAATTTTTTGTTCGCGTGAAACTTAACTCAATCGAATCAAATATAAACGATAAAAAGCATAATTTTAAAATTGGAAAATTATAATTCTTATATCGAAAGTGTATAGGTTGGGAAAAAATCATTTTTTAAATTTAATTATTCGAAATATGTTAATTCTTTTTGCTAGAAGAAGGATCATTTTTGTTGTTGCAATTTTGAGTTGTAAAATCAGCCAATTTTTGTAAACTCTCTAATGTGAAACGTGATAAATCGTATTCTAATTCACAAGGAACGCTATTCAGTGTGAATTTTGCGCGGAATAAGGAAATTTCATTGGTCTTCCTAGGGATATTTTTACGAAAATTGCCGACGATTTCTTCTAATCTATTTATTTTATTTGAAAATAATTTGATGCAATCGTTCGTTTCCTTACAATCCTGACAAGGTTTCACAGGCTTCTTCCTTATTCTTTTGCCACCTGAGTCGAGTCGGATTTTCTGCATATAGGTTCTTTGATCATACTTTTTATTTTTTGACGACATTAAAAAAAAAATGAAGGTAGTCTTAGAAATGTTTTGGCTCTCGAACGAAAAGTGTATGCTTATATAAATTTTAGTGCAGTATTGTGTGTTACCTGTTACACATAGTGTTAGTACGTCGCGCTTTTTTTATTTTTAAATTAGCTGACCTAGTGTACGGGCGCAGCACATGATTAAAATTTTTCGCACACTTTTTGGTAAAGATGTGCTCTGTGCCTGCACAGTAAAATTTTACATAGAACAACTGTTGCATAGTCACATGTTAAATTTAATCATTATTTTTTAATGCCGCGCAGTTACTTTTTATGATCGGGCGCAAATGTATCACGCGGAGTAGCTGCGCACAATTTATCTCAGAAAAATTTTCGGTTAACTGCTAAACGATATTGTATGATATATACAGTATCTCCGATGTTGTATAGTATAATGGTCGAAAATCTATACAGTATAGTTTTTATTTATACAATTATACATTATAGCTTTTTATCTATACTGTATAATTTTTTTACACTATACTATACAACATCGGAAGTATATATCATACTCAATAACTATATTATCATCTAAATTAAAAAAATTATGATTTAAAAAAATATATACAGTACAATTCCAAACCCTGCTTATATATAAGTTCAACTGCGTAACTTGATCATATAAATTTGTATTTACGATTTTATCACAATTATGGTACTGCACTTGCGCCAAAAACTAATTGGTTATTATCTATATAACCAAAGAAACCTGTATAAATAATAATTTTCAGCGCCTAATTTAGGGATTGGACCCGGGTTGGACTATACCTGGGTTACCCGGGTATCCGGGTGTAATAATTTCCACCAGGGTGGAGGCAGGTGGGTCAACAACCTGGCAGATTACCCGTCGGGTCACCTGTTCAGTCACCTATTGTTGATTAAATCATTTATAAGTTCCCGTTTAGTATTAATTATTAATAAATTAGTAAAATGATGAATGGAATTGTATCATATGATATTAAACTTAAAGTAGAAGTAGTTAGCCAATTTTTATTTGTTAATTTATATTGTAAAGCTTGGAATTAATAATATTTGAATATAATAAATTCGTCTTTTTTGATCATAAAGCTATTATATAACAAAAGAAATTTATATATAATTATAAATGTTTTGCAAGTTTTAAAAATAAATAGTTAATTTTTATATGGTCCATCTGTCAGGTGACCCGGGTAAGATTTTTTAGACGGGTCCAACCTCTAGCCTAATTCAGTAATTACTATAGTAGGATCATGTGTATTTTATCGCTAATACAATTCCGGTTAATGAAATTTTAATCGGACATTCTTTTTTGCTAAATAACGGAAAAAGGCTTACAAATCATATTTCATTTTTTTGATCAATTACTGTACGTTGATGTTTAAAAATCTTATTTCGATCTCTTTTTTAGAGTAATATTTTTTTTCATTCTTTTTTTAAGATTGGTCTTTTTTTCGACCAGATCTTTTTTTTTTTAAAATAATATATATATATATATATATTGGTCTTTTCTTTGGGCCAGATCTTTTTTTTAATATTTTTTTCGGTCTCTTTTTGTTAGAACGGAACTTTTTATACATATTTTTTTTTATCTACACATATATGTATATTATTATTATTATTAATTTATTTCGTCTTTTAGTCTTACTAGATCTAGATCGGTGATTGGATCGATTGGATTGATGCTGTGGTCCTATTTTTAATAATTTTTTCTTATTTTTTTTCCTACTTTTTCTTTATTTAATTCTTTCACCCCTTAGGTTTTGATTGGCGAAATAATCAAAATAATTTTTTTTTTTTTATTGAATAAATATGCTTAGAATAAGTATATATTTTTTACTTAAAAATAATAAAAAATATGATATTATAATAAGATCTAATTCATCTAAATATAAAACAAAAATTTTTTTATTGATACATTGATTCTAAATTTATTTTAATCCTGTTGCAACGCAACAGGCTACAGCTAGTATTGAACTAAATATAATAATTATCCTTGGTTTACTAAAATAACAAGTGAATAAATTATCAAATACAAATTATTGAATAAAACTTTATAAATTACCCTATTTTTATAAATTCATCAATTATTTATATTTATAATTACATTATAGATCTTATTACTATTACATTTTGTATCCTGAATATCAAACAAATTTATAAAACGTCAAGATACTAATTTTATTTGTTGAATAATAGAATTTTGCCAAGAAAACTATAAATCATATAAATTATTAATTTACTATTATAAGAAGTCTTAATGAATTGTTCATTCAAGATAATTAATAATGACAAGATGTTTATTGATATCGGGAAAAACTTCATATTAATTTAATTTGACATTTTATTTGTTTATTAATGATACCATTTTTTTCTAGATAGAATTTAGTTATAACGAGTCTCAATATTACGCCATTTATGTATATCATTATCTTATTCCAGTTATATTCGATTTATTAATAATAGAGATGGAACAGAAGTTTTGCTTTTTTAAATTTTCTCAATAAAGAAAATTGACCGTACAAAAAAAAAGAGACTATATGATTATCTGTAACCTTACAGAAAATTTTATCCGCTGTTTCTGTAAAAACTCCGTAAAAATGAGCCTTTCACGGATATATTTACTGAAAATGTAAATAAATTCCGTAATATATAAGGTTATTAATTCCGGAAATATGAGTCTTTACGGAAAAAAGATGAAATATAAAAAACAGATCGACTTTTTTTTTTACAGAGTAATAAATATCGAAGCAGTTCAGTGCATTAGTAGTAAAAGGTATTACAATTGCTTGTATACATATTCTCAAAATACATACATCATCCCATAATCCATGAAATTATTTATAAACCATCAAGTTTTTTAAATAATTACGCTTAAAAAACTTTTTATCATTGTAACATCAATAATTACAAGTGTTTTAACAGTAAATAAATAATTTATTGAATTTGATGTACATTGTACAGTATTTACAGTACGTTCATATTTTAATTTAATCATTAGAATATTTGTTCTAATATTTATTTGTTTCAAATACTTATTCGTACTCTGAATTACGGATACAAACTTTATTTGGTGTAACGAAAAAAAATGTAGCTCTATAATAATAGTTATTATTAGCTAAATCGATCACAGGACCGATATAGCCCCACATTCAATAAATGTGTTATCGTTCTGACGTTTTTGATCATGCATTAATTAATAACAATATAAATAAGCTTTCTATAAATTTCATTTTTATGCTATTTTTAATCCACTTTATAAAGTTTTATTTAAACTTTTCTACAAAATATTCATTTTACATCATATTTTTTTTATATCAATCATGTGTTATTGCTATGCCTAATAAAAAATATCGGTCTATGAAAATCTGCATGATCTTATTGGGCTGAACGATAATAATATCATATCACCTTGCACCATACCCGGTTTTTTTTATTTTTAACGTGTAATAAGGGCTGAAATAAACAAATAAAAAACATTGCGGGGAAGAAAAACCCGAATAAATATTTAGCGGACAATAAAATGTAGTAACCGCTTCGGTTAAAAGAGCATCGAGTAATATTTCAGTTATTTGTTTAGTGTTAAGAGGAGGTTAAACAAACATTAAATAAACGATTGTTGCTATTGTTGTTGAATATTCCCCTGCATAAATACTGTGTTCATAAGACGGGCGCAGCAAACATACAATTTTGAAAACATAAATAAAAGTATAAATGAATAATGTTAAAATTAACTATTGTCAAAAAATTCGAATTTTAAATAAACAAACTAATAATTTTTTGACACGGAATTACATATGACTATGTATAAGAGATGAGAAGAATTCATGAACGTTTTACTGTTGTGGAATTTGATTTGCTAAGTTTTACAAGGAAATAAAAAATTATCCAACTCCAGGTTTTTGGACGATATCGTTTGTATGGTTACCCAATATTAAAAAATATATTTATGTAAAAAGATAAAAAAGATTATAAAGTGTGATAAAATCGAACAATACCATTTTATTATAAATTTATTCTGATACACACGCTCATGACCGCATGACCGTCTCAACAATATAAATTTTTTTATATTGTATTGTAGAATTTGATCAATTAAAAATAGATTTGCAAATAAAAAATACTATCATATACTGTGTATAATGTGAATATATAATTATGATTTCAATTAGATAAACTTTTTTCATTCAGCCAAAAATATTATTCTTTGTCTGCTTTCTATATTTAAACGCTGACAACATATGACAATGCTTTTCTTGTTTATGAAACACAGGGCCAAGGAGTCACATTCCAAAAGGCTGAATTTAAGTTGATTCAGTCATATCGACTTTTATTATTGCTTAATCAGACACGGAAAATATATACCATACCATAATGACTCGTTCTAATGAGTAATTTCCATATATATATATACTAATCAATTTTTTGTTTTGAGTAGATTGAACCTAAATGTAAGAAAAGTTTGATTCATATGGTAAATGTCTTTGTATTGTTGACTATTTTATGACACAATAATTACAGAATTTTGATAAAAAATTTTATACGTTCAAATGTCTTTTTTTTATATAGATTAATATTAAAAACACGTATTTATTTTATATGTATTAAGTCAGATGATACTAATGCGCTAATGATACATCATGCATTTAATTATGTGATAAATCTATTTTAAGATCATTTCACTTGAAATCAAATGAAATATAAATTTCCCACCAGACAAATTAATCATAATATAATTATGAAATAATAACTCATTTTAATTGTACATCATGTTTCTTTATTAATTTATTTCTTTATTATTTTTTTTTTTTACACAATAAATTTGTCAGACTCTCTTTGAGCTAACTTTATATCGGTTAATGCTTTCCAAAATTTAAATGGCAAAACTTTTAACAAATGATTACATAATAATGGTAACTTTATATAATTTTATATTTACTAAAAATATGTTAGCATTAACAATATGCTGTATGAAGTGATCCACGAATATATCCA